GGGGCATCAATTCCGTCTACGACGGAATTGCTGCAGCTGGGTCATAGGATACGTGCTGCTGACAGTTGTGTCACATATATGATGTGAATTTTTCCATCCTGGAGGGAATGTGTGAGGGCATGCCTTGGCATACCAGCAGTCACACTGCACCACAATTTCCATCATCCTGCTATTCTTTCCTATAAGCAGGAGTCACAGTCTTCATAACAATCTAACCCAGCAGAATACATACCTGTCTCTATGGCTCCTCATAGCCAATTTCATTTGAGATAAAATATGGCATAGCGGCTATTGGCCAATACTCATTTATGCATTGAGTTGCTTGGAAGTTCTTTACTACAAAGATGAAAAGATATGAAACTCTAGAATAACAATTATATAGGTATAGCACTAATTGTATTATCAGATTGAAGATATATCACTTCTTTCTGACAGTTACTTCTGAGATCTAACAATGTGTCTATATTCAAAGGACTCTTGAAGTCCCTGATACATCTTACAGATGTTAGACACTAATGTATGCTACTTATCTAATAAGAAGATTTACAATCTACAAAAACTTGTAGTTTACTTGCTTTCAATTTTTCTAATATTTGACACTAGGCCAATATCTCATTCTTCACTCCAGTTGCTTTCAACTTTTTTAATGTCTGACACAACGTCAATGGTCCATCCTTCACTCTGATTTTCTTATGATAAGCAACACAATACTATATCATCTGTATATTGTTGAATTGTAGATTTCTAAAAACTCATCTTAGTTTTGATGTACTCAATGCTAACTTGTGTATCTTCTTAACTTGCAATATATAGGCCATCAATGTCTTGAAGAAGAAAGCCTTGAATAATACTCAGAGTTATTTTGAGTATATATTGAAAGCTGTTCAAATTCGATGAGAGAGCTTAGCACCTATCCATTATCTCTTAGAATATATTCTTGATATCAGCTACACTAGATGTATCTATTGATGAGTCCGAAATTGAAGTCATTCTACTTCTAGTTGACAGTCTATATATAGAAGATTACTTCTAATATTTGACACTATATCAAGTTTCTATACTTTACTTATTTTAAGTTATTCTAGTGATACAATAGTTAGTGATAACTTTATATCTTATCAGACTTTATATCTCAAATATAGGTATCCAGTAGATCTTGCTTGTAATATGATGTCATAATACTTTCTTTCTTATAGGCCTAGTTTATTAATAATTTACTATATTCAGATACAAATTAGTTCATATTTATAGTATAGAATTTGAAATTCACCTGCATATTATATATGCAGGTGCTAGTATCTATCACTGTAAATATAGCAAACTAAGCTAAAGCTTGACAGAAGCAACTATCGCTGACTGTGCTTATATATATGATTAGATTCTGTACTGTGTAGAGAAGAGGCACTTCAGAAAAAGTGAGAGAAACTTAACTGCATATCTAATATGTCTACTTATCATGATAGTATAATAACTAATAATATATGTCAGTTCAACAATAACTAAGAGAAGTTGTGATAACCTAACCAATTATTGAAAAGAAGCTGCTTTATAGATTAGCAGTTTAGATATTGCTGAAATAGACTAGTTGATATGTACTTCTTCATAGTGAAGATAACCTATCTCAGATATTAGAGCTTTTCAATATCAAAATACAGTATCACTTCTTTAGTGAGTCAAGGTGTAAACTTCTCTAAGTGATTATATAAAATGTCTGCATTCTATAGCAGATTGCTTGAAACTTATCTTAATTTTAGTATGCTCCATGCTAATATGTATATATTCTTTCCTTATGCTATAGAGAATATGAGTATCTTGAATAGTATTGAGAGTGACTTTGAGTATGTATTGAAAGCTATTGAAAGTTGAGAGAAGAGCTTAGTACTTATGCATTGCCTCTTTGAGTATAGAGTTAGTATTATTTTCTAAGAAGCTAGAGAATAAGGCATTATTAGATACAATAGCTATTATATGTATATGTGGCTATTGAGAATAGAGTGTATTGACAGAACTAAGAAATAATTTCAAACTAACTTGAAATTTATTTATTGTATTGCTAGGGAGGTTAATGATAAGTTGTATATGTTAGATTATAGAAGAGAGTAGAAAGAGTCTAAGTTGAAATCTAGCCAATTGTGGACCATAATATGCATTCAGCAAGTGATGTAGCAAGGAAAAGTAGAAATTTAAAGTTAAATATTTAAATTTAAGATACACAACCCAAATTTAGGGTTAGGTTAGGTTAGGTTAGGTTAGGTTAGGGTTAGGTTAGGGTTAGTGTTAGGTTAGGTTAGGTTAGGTTAGGTTAGGTTAGGTTAGGTTAGGTTAGGTTAGGGTTAGGGTTAGGTTAGGGTTAGGTTAGGGTTAGGTTAGGGTTAGGTTAGGTTAGGTTAGGTTAGGGTTAGGTTAGGGTTAGTTACAAATTTAGTTTATTAGGAGTTGCTGGGGTTTATAAATTAATTAATAAAAATAATCCTGCGAGATTTTATATTGGTAGTTCTGTCAATTTATCTCGACGAATAAGTGAATACTTGGATTTAACCAAGGGAGTTCGACTTCCAAGAACAAGTACAGAAACAGAGCTATCACAAACTCCAGCTTCTGATTGGATTTTAGAAATTTTATATGTGACTTCTCCACAGTTATCACTTATTCATGAGCAGTATGCTTTAATTAAATTTAACCCTACTATTAATAAACAATTTAATGTTATCCCTAAGATTCTTAGCCAATGGACCGATTTAGATCTTGCGATAAATCAAATTAAAATTTTTCAATCTCAATTTGAGATTGGTTCATTCGGTTATATTAGATTTAGTTTATTTCTTAAAACATTTACGATAGCTAAGGAACTAAAATTTGAAAGTGAAAATGTAGGTAATACACAATATGCAACTTTAATTTTTTTATATAATAAAAATTTAAAGGATAAACTACCTATTGTGTATACTTCAATAAATAAAGCATTAAAATCATTATCTGTTTCACATGGTACATTAATAGATTGTATTACTAATAAGTATCTTTTAAAAGAGGATCTATTATTATCTTTGGAACCTCTTTTAATTGAAAACTTTACAGAATTTACTAACAAACCTGTCAGTGATAACCTGTCAAGAAAACATGTGATTTTATATAATGAGGAGTTAGAACCTGCTTTTGAATTTAATTCTGCCAGAGAAATGGCTAGACATTTTAAGATAGATGGAAAAGTCGCTCGCGTGGCTATAGCTAAGGGTGTATATTTAAATTATACTCTTGTGGCTAAAGCAGTATCTTTTAATAAAGTAGTTTATGTTTACGATAGTGAAACTTTAAATTTAATAACTAAATTAAATAGTGTTACAGCTGCAGCTAGTTATGCTAAAGTAAACTTTTATACTTTGAAAAATCTACTTGAAACAAATAAATCTTATAACAATAAAATTTATAGTTACAGTGAAACTCTTAAAAATTAAATGATTATGTACACCACCCCTCCCTTACACGGTCCGGACCCTTCACCTTTACTTATCTTTCATTCTCATTGTCTCGGGTGACTTAAAAAATTTAAATGAAATTAAATTTTTCTCTTCACTTCTCCCAGCCCTGCTGTTAAGGCGTGGGAGGGCATTAATTGGCAATGGTAAGAGAGGGAAAGGGCTGGAGGTTTTGGCTTGCTGGTTAGGTGTGTGTAACCTCTCCGATCTGGAGAGTGATAAAATAAAGAGAGAGCAACATTTCTTAGGTCTTGCGGGTAAAATTTATTTTCAATATTTTAATGAAAAAAGTTTTAATTTTAGTAAACAATATTTAGTTATTAATTTTATTTTATTATTATATCTTTCTCATAGTGAAGATATTATTATATTAACGAAATCTTTTATTTTTATTAATAATGTTATTCCTTTATCTTTTTCCCTTAAATATAGAAAAATTAACTTTATTAATTTCCCTGAAGGACCTCAGATTAAACCCAATTGGTTAATTAATCCCAAAAGAGTTTATGACAATCCTAATTTACAAAGAAACTTAATAGGTTCTGATAATAAAAGCCGATCTATTGTATATCAATGGGTAAATCTTCTTACAGGAAAAATATACATTGGTAGTGCTTGGAATGGTTCCACTAGATTGTTAAGCTATTGGACTCCTAGTACTTTACGTAGAAATTATCCTATTTATAATAATATTAAATATTACGGTGTACATAATTTTGCTTTAGCTATACTAGAAGATCTAGGTGTCTCTGGTTCTGTTACAAAAGAATTTATACTTTCTCGAGAACAATACTATTTAGACAAGTTATTTAATAACTATCCAGACCAAATTTTAAATTTGGCTAGAATAGCTGGTTCTACAAAGGGTTATAAACATCAGCCTGAATTCGGATTAAACAGATCAGGTCATTTGAATCCAATGTTTGGGCGTGTTAAATCAAAAGAATCTTTAGAAATGCAAAATCGTGATAAAAGCGGAAGTAATAATCCATTATTTGGCAAAATAAAAGCTTCTTCTACGATAGCTAAAATAACTAAATTAGTGTATGTTTATAATAGTTCAGATTTGTCTTTCATCGGAGAATTTTCTACTGTAGAATGTTCTAAACACTTTAAAATGGGAAAAGATACAATAACTAAATATATTAAAAACGGTTTACCTTATAAAGGGAAAATTTTTAGCCGTAAAAAACTTCATTAAAATATTAATAATTGCCCCAGTAAAATATAATAAGGCAAGGTTTCTTGCTAAATTATATTTTTATTAGCAAAATTGGGTGAATTGCAAGAAGACCTGTTTGAAGGTTAACTTGCAGCTTATCTTATTACGATTTAATATTATGCGTTAAACATATTAAGTAATAAGACAGTTCAACGATTAACGGTGAGTGGTTTAAACAATAAACCTGATACAAGCGCCCAACCATTATTAGGCTTATATCGCTAAAGTAATGGATGACATAATCTGAACCCTTTAGTAATATTGGGAAATAGGGTTTAAATTACCCTATGTTAACAAAATTGATGCCTAGAAGAATTCCTGATTATCCTGATGCATTTGCTGGATGGAATGCTGTATCAAGTTTTGGTTCACTTATCTCTGTTATAGCTACTATTATATTCGGTTATATTCTTTACGATATTTTTGTAAATGGTAAAGAAGTAAGTAATAACCCTTGGGCTGTTCCTTCTTATTTTACATCAATAGAAGTATTTAATAGTGAAACACAAACAGCAAATACATTAGAATGGACATTAGCTAGTCCTATTCCATTCCATGCATTTAATATGTTACCTGTACAATCTTAAAATATTTAATTTATTTGTATTACGCTTAATTAAATTTATTAAGAATTAAAAATAAAATATAATAATGGTAATCTATTTTTTATTTTTATTTTTTTTTTTACCCCTTTTTTTTTTAATTATAGTAAATTTTTATATCTGAAATATTTAGATCAAATAACAACTCATATCCCCATTTCTCTTATAAGTTATCCGCCTTTCTGTACTTAAAAAAAGCCAAAAGTGTGTCGTTTATATAAAATATTTTTTACTTTCAATTTTGAATAAATTAAATAATTGATCTTCGCCTTCTAAGCAGTTTTGTTTATTATGAGCTATTAATTGGTTATTGTTTAATCTTCTATAATTATACATTTTAATTATTTTATGTATTGATACTAAAAGTTTAACTATTCCTAATAATTTCCCTAATTTTGTTTTAAATTGGATAAATACATTAAAAGCTATTACTAAAATACCTAACTCATATAAAATTCGAATTATTCAAGCTTATCTTTTTTTGTCGTTAGGCAATTTTATAATAGGTGTAATTGGCTTATATGCATTAACTTATTTAATTTAAATTATAAAAATCAAAATCTTGAAAATAATTAACTCTAAAAAGTATATAAAATATCTGCTATTCTATATTTTATACCACCCCTATTTCCTTTATAATTCTATGTCGTCTGGCATCGAAAAATTTTAAATTTATTATTTAATTTACACGCTCCACTCAAACTTTAAGGCCATCTGGCGTCCAAAAAAATAAAAAAAAATACTAGTATA